TTCTTGATTTTTGCTATCCTGGCTGGTCATGTAAGAAGGGGAAAACAAAAAGTTTGCATAAGCAACTATAAAATATTTTTTAAAAATACTTCACTTTGCAATTTAAATACCACTTTTTAATGCAGGTTTTATGTATATAGTAGGGAAAATAGTGTGTGTGTGTGTGTGTGTGTTAGCAGACATAACTTTTCCACTTTGTTCTACAAAATGTTTCAGCCAGTTTTCGGGGACTAAAAATAAAATCTAAACCAGCAGTGCTCAACCTTTCGGCTTTACAGGCTGGATGAGTGACACAGGACCAGTCCATGGGCTGGATCCTGTACACTGGCCTTGTCTCACCATGTACTGGTAATCTAGTATGTTTGGCCATGTTGTCTGACCTGTGGGGTTCCCCATGGGTCTGCAAATTTGGCAGCGGGAGAATGGCAGTTAATGCAGGCACTGTTACCTTGCTACCAAATTTCCAGACCCACAGGGATTCCCATGGGCTGAATAACACGGCTCCATAGGCCAGAGGTTGAGCACCATTGAACTAGACCATAATGTTGTCACTGCTCACCAGTAAAAGTGCCAGTAGGAACAATGTTTTGGGGTTGTTTTTTTTCCTGTAATAGGAATGCTTTTTCCAGTAGGAACTAAAACAAACTTACTTCACACAGAGTAATATTTACTTTGTTTACAAAATTCAGCTGTAGTAAGTTTGCATACTTTGCATTATAGCACTTCTTAGGTGTGTTGGAAGATCTCATTATTTCCTCATAAATCAGCCTGAACATAAGATGTCATTAATCAGCCTAGCCACTTGGGCTTTTGTGCATTACTGCTTAATGATGTTATAATAGAACTTGACAGCAACGAAGCAAGTGTGTAAACTAATGGATGCTTAAGTTATGATTTTTGTTTTGGGGATAATTTCTGTAACACAAGAATCTCAAAGCAAAATCATATGATAAATCTCTCTTTCACTAGGCTTGGAAGATTTCAGATATAGCTATAGGAATATAAAGTCATTAATAGCTGGAGGGTTTTGCTGTAATTGTAGACAAAAGACAATCTTATGTGAGATGTCATACTTGTGAGAGGTGTTACTTTTCTAATAGACTTGAAAATGTGATTAATGTTTAAAAAGATTTTTCTTTATATTCTTTATATACGCTTTATATTTTGTAATGTTACAGCTTTTTTCAGTTGTTATATATACTGTATTTACTTGAATACAGGACAAAGTTTTCCTCCCAATTGGAATGGGGAAAAACATCCCTCGTCTTATAACTGCATGTAAGGAAATTTCACTAAATATTGTTATTAAGCTGCTGTCAAAAGCAGCTTATGTTGAGCAGTGGAAAGCAACTATGAAGTTGATTAAATGCAGCCAACACTGAGTAAGATTATAAAACACATGGTCCAAATTGGGCAAACATGCTGATAGGAACCTTTTTTATTATTATTACAAATTTTATTAAAAACACTCATCACTCTACACTTACAAAGCTTTACATATTGAACATCCTTGTTTTATCTAAACTTCATATCACAAAACAACTACATATCAAAAACATAACTACATATATTTAACCCTTAAACAACATACATTAACTTCCCACAAAAACCCTTACAGAACTCTTTCTTCATACAGAACCACAGGGATATCAATTAATCTCTCAAAAAAAACCCCAAAATTATTCAGTGGAGAGTTTCAGTTACTACCTGAAACTCTCCATCTTGCCCATCAGTCCTGTCTGTTGGTTCGGTGAAACTGGTGTGTCCATTCCTTTTTCCTCCACTTTTTCTCCACCTTCTTTTCTCTGATCTCTTCCTTGTCCTGATATTTCAGTTCATGCAGTCCCAGCTTCAGGCACTCTTTCAGAGAAAGTCAGCTTCTTAAAAGCCCAGAGGTTTCTTACTTTCCATATGCTGGTTTTAAAACTTGCTAACTGTGCCCTTAATATTGTTTCCTCAGACCCTTTTGGTATGAACCCTTACAATACCATCTCTTATGTTAGGGACTGGCTTAGTTTTGTGACACTGAAAAAAAAAAAAAAAAAAAAAGACATGCCCTTTCCCACACAACCTTTGCATATGTACACTCCCAAAAAGCATGTCCTGCCATTTTGTCATTTCCACACCTCTCCCTTGCTTTGCTGTTATCTTCAAGCTCCATCTATGTTGTACCTCCCTTACCAGCAAGATATTTCACATGATCAGTCACAGTAGATCATCATGCTCCCCCTTTCTGTCATTCATCAGTCACCTTCCTCCACACCTTTTTCATTTATCCTTCTTTAAGGTCACCCACTGATGCCTTCCTGGTTTATACTGTCTCAATTTTTGTCAGCCGCTTGTAATCTTTCAGGACCTCCAGCCCCTCCTATCATATTTTGTATATCCTTATAACATTTTCTGTTCTTATGTCATGAATGGGAGGTTGCCAAGTCCATGGCTTCTTCCAAGAGCCCCCATACATTCCTTATACATTCTCAAGATTGTACCTGCCAAAAATTGGCTATAGCGTGCTACTTTCCCTTCCCACTCTGTTGTTGCTTTACACACTGCACTTATTCCGTTTGTATCAATGGTGGCATCTTCCCCCCACCCCGTGTCTGTTGCTTTATACATTTCCAGTCTGGCTAGCCTTTTTCTTTTCACTTTCCAAAAGAGCATGCATATTTCCCTTTGTACTTTTGCTAACTGCCACCATGACAATGGAAATACAGTTCCGGTGTATAAAATGATCGGCAACAACACTGCCTTAATTGCCACCATTTTTCCAACAAAAGACAGCGTTCTTCCTGTCCACAACCATAATACTTGTCATACCTTCACTGTCAGTATTAACAATGTGTCCACAGTTTGACTGCTGTGTGTGCGTTTCTGTTCACCCCATCTCCAGTGCCTTACAGTGAGTGAGTTGGGGCTAGGGGGGAGAGTGCTTGCACCCATGCCGCATGGGATGGGTGACCTGTAGCTGTGGGTATTTTTACTTTCTGCTTTTCCTTCTCTGCTAAACATGAGTTAAATGAAGTTCAGTATCCTGCTTTTAAAAAAACTCTGTCTGCTTCACTGATTTGTGATGCATACACCCACATTTTTTGAATCCAAGGTGCTGGGGGACATGATGAGGGCTGCAGTCAGATAGGGAATGAGGACATAGCAGGCTGTTACAAAGGTATGGGGTTTTTTGAACAAGCTGTGCAAAGGAGTTCACTGATTATGAAGTGGAGGGAAAGAGAGAAATGGAGTTCTGGATGAATACCAATGCAGCCAGTTACAACTTTGGAAGGATGGGAGGAATGCAGTAGTACGGCAGAACTGCTTATCGGCAGTTGGGGATTGAACGCCTCATGGGATCCCTGGCCTGCATGCCACACAGATGCCCTCCTCCCCACCCCTACCACTGCACCATGCCTGCTCTGGCTTACAGGCAGCCCCTGAACCTCACTGCTCCATTTTAATAATATTTTAAATTATGTCTCTGGAAGGCCATCGTGCTCCTGTAATGGGAGCAGTCACACAGCCAGAGACAGTAATAGAATTGGTCCTACTCTTTCTCAGGTAACTCATGGTTTCTAGGGTCGGAAGGGACCTGAACAGATCATCAAGTCTGAACCCGTGCCTTGGGAAGGAACGAGTGCTGGGGTCATAACACCCCAGCCAGATATCTATCCAACCTCCTCCTGAAGACACCCAAGGTAGGGGAGAACACCACCTCCCTTGGGAGTCTATGCTAGAGCCTGGCAGCCCTAACTGTAAAGTAATCGCTCATACTGTGAGCGCTCGTACAGCCCTGCTATGACCACTGCCAGTTCCTTCAGTACCCTCGGATGAAGAGCATCTGAACCTGCTAATTGAAACTTGTCCAACCCCTCCAAAAGTTCCCTAACTAGATCGTCCCTGACCCTAGGGATGGCATTGTGTCCCCTGACCCTAGAGCCTGGCAGCCCTAACTGTAAAGTAATCGCTCATACTGTGAGCGCTCGTACAGCCCTGCTATGACCACTGCCAGTTCCTTCAGTACCCTCGGATGAAGAGCATCTGAACCTGCTAATTGAAACTTGTCCAACCCCTCCAAAAGTTCCCTAACTAGATCGTCCCTGACCCTAGGGATGGCATTGTGTCCCCTGACCCTGTCCATAATCCTAGTTGGGGAGTTGTCCCTGCTCAGAAATATGGAGGTAAAGAACTCGTTGAAGAGATCAGCTTTTTCCTTTGCTGCAGTCACCAGATTGCCACGCCTGTCCTGTAGGGGCCCCATATTACCTGGTACCTTCTTCTTACTCCCCATGTATTTGAAAAAGGACTTTTTGTTGTCCTTAATTCTGGTCGCCAGTCCTAGTTCCATCTCTGCCTTGGCCTTCCTAACCACCTCCCTGCAATCACAAGCAACAGAGGTGTAATCTTCCTTGGTGATTGCCCCCCGTTTCCACTGATTGTACACAACCTTTTTTGCGCTCAGGCCCTCTGGGATGCCATTACTGAGCCAAGG